GACTGAGGCTTCCTGTGTCTCCTCGGGGGCCTTTTGTCCTCCTCCAGTGCTCTCATCCTTTCCCCTTGGGCAACGATGAGGTAGTTAGTCTGGTTGATCGCCGCAAATAGTGCCCTGGTCATGGCGTCTGCCCCGACGGGGACAGGGACTTCATGGAATTGAGCGACTTGATGGTTCGGGGGAACCGGATTATCTTCTTGGAGTCGAAGGGGGACTGATGAAGATGAGGCAGTGGCTCCATCCCGGTAGTTGGAGATTTTGGGGATGTTGCCACCGGGAGCAGTAACGTGCGTGGTGACGCCGACGTTGTTATCGGTGAGGTTATTGCATGCCTCGACGACGCGGGCGTCCTGATTGTCTTGAATCTGGTCAGCCATGACGGTGGGAGATGATTTCAGCTTTTGGTCTTTGAAGGTTTGTAAGACGGGGAAGCTCTGTTTCCCACAGACGGCGCCACTGATCTTACCGGATCAGAATTGGACCGTCACAACTAGCTCGAACTGGATTTAAATGAGATGGGGGGGGGGGGACCCCTGCAAGACACTCCGATGATAAAATGAGAGACGGAATGGGCAGGCAAAAAGTATGTAGCTGCGTAATGAATGAATACCTTACCCTCTTGGAACATAGGGTATTTATAGCCCCCAACGCTGGGCCAATGTCCCTTTATTGGGCTGACCAGAACTGATCCAACAAAGAGACTGTCAGGTTCTACGTGTGTAGTGGGGACCCGCACGTGGTCCCCTTCCTGGATGGTGCTCTGTGAAGAATGAGGAGGAACGAAGACGCGGTCTTTTCGGAGCTCTGAGGATTCCGCGGCATCTGCAGGGGATTGAGTCTGCCCTACGGGGAGGATGCTCGAGCAAGGCTCGAGTTGGAGTACCCTTGGTCGGGGACGCTGCTCGCTGCAGGTAGCTACGGACATAACCGCTGTAGCCTATAACCGAGTATGTTCGGGGTGATTTGATTCTGAACATAGTTCGAGAAACTGCTTGGATCTGAGCCTTTACTGGTGTTTTAGGTTAAGGTAGGTCCAGTCCAGAACAAGTAGATTAATAGATAATTTTAAATGAAAAATTCTAAAAATAAGTTTTTAATACACTACAAATCAAATTTAAACTTTGAATTTTTAAATAATTTAAAGTTAAACTTAAATAGTTCAAAGTAGGTAGTGTAAGATCTCGTTGATAGACTCTAATATATATATATATATATATATATATATATATATATATATATATATATATATATATATATATATATATATATATATATATATATATATATATATATATATATATATATATATATATATATATATATATATATATATATATAATTTGAACACTCTATCTTAATTAATATGAGACTTAAGATTGACTTAGTCGAATTCTCCATACTATGAAACAATCTCTCCACCACGAACTTAAATTTCACAATAGTGATTTTCTCTTTTCAACCTAGCATCTACAAATACTTCCACCATGCACACGTGACCGTTTTAACCTATCCCTAAATCAAAATTGTAACCCTACCTATAATAGTAAAAAAGAGTACCATAAACCATAGAGTGTGTGTGGACCAAGTATCATTTTGATATCACATCACGCGTGAAGATCCTGTCATCTCAAGGGGAACTATATTTTGATTCATCAATTATAGGCACTTGTTTCCTTCATTGAAAGGTTTTTGCTTTTTTCAATCATGCCACGACTAATTTCATTCATGTGTTTTTCATTTTATCAATAATTCAAACATTAAAGCAACTTTATCTCTTTTTTTTAATCATTTTTTACTCTTTTTTTTCTTGGAGTTAATGCATAGCAACCAACATATCCAAATGAGGGCCCAAATTTTGGATTCAAGATGCAAACTTTCCTCAAAACAAGGACCGGTAGAAGGGCAAAGTTACATAAGCCATTCCTTCCTCTCAAGTTTTTAAATAACGATTGTGATCATGTTATTGTGTAAGAACTTTTTATTAGTACATATATTACGATCCTTAGAATGTGAATTAATCACTATTCTTTTTTATTATAAAAATAATCAAATAATTATTTAAATATTAACATCTTCCGACATGGGTGGATGTAGAAGAATATTGTGGTTAAAACTACACCATAATTTTTTCTATTATATGCAATGTTTTAAAAATTAAATTGAATGTCGAATCGGTAAGACTTTTAATTTATGGTTCATTTGGTTCAATCGATCAAAATTATGGTTAAATTATTTATTAAATAAGTTAATAATATGAAATTAAATTTTATGAATAAGTCACATAATTATATTTTTATAAAATTTTTAAATAAATATTTTAAAAATTCAACACAAAACTATAACATAGTGTTATAACTTCAAATTTTTTGTTGCTTTCTTGTGAAGGAAAAATATTTTAATTATTGATGCTAATATAATAATAATTTTCAATTTTTTTTATTAAAAAAATATTAAAATTGGTCCATAACAAACATTTTTTGAACCAGACAGTTTTACAAAACTACTCAGATTCTTTAGTTCGATCGATTTCGAGCGGTTCAACCAGATTTTTCCGATTTTATTTCGGTTTTGACCCATGTGCGATTCTATAAGACTGACCGAACTAGAATCGCCTTCAATTCCCGATCCAACTGGTTGAATCAGACGATTTGGTCCGATTTTTAAAATATTGATTATATTTATTCCTTCTTGGAACTATGGTGAACTGAAGATTTTGAATAGATGATATTGATCTCTGTATGACAATGCGGGTTGGACCTGTAAAGTTAGCACTCTAACGTCCAAGTCAGTTCAAGATTCAAGATGAGTATAGTAAAAAATGAATATTAGAGAGTGTACCTTGTTTTTTGTGTGAATTGATTTTATGCATTGGGTCAAGTAGAGTGGTTCAGAGGTAAATTGTGTCTTAGTTTTTTGGGCCTTTGGACGACACATAACTATTGCCTCCAAGGCTTTGTCGGACATTGAGGAGACATGCTATAATTTCTAATGTTTTTAATTTGCATCATTATAAGCATGATTGTTTGTTTAGTATTTTTTTATTTGTACTTGTATGAGCTCAATGTTAGATTTGATGAAGAGAATACTAAATTTTTACAATGTGTTTCATGTTTGAGTCCTTCATCGTCATTTATGGATTCTGATGTGAAGAAATTATTGAGGATGATTGAACTTTACCAAAATAATTTTGTAGATATGTCGAAAGTGATGGTGCGACATTAACTTCAGAATAATGTTACAAATGTTCGATGTAACCCAAAATTTACAAAATTAAAAGAACTTTCATATATTTGTGCAAAACTTGTGAAAACAAATACGTGCAATATTGTTCATAAATTGCTAGCGTGAAACATGTTTTTTCTGCTATAAAGTATATAAATAGTCAGTTATGTAACAAAATAAGTTATCAATGATTAAATGACGGTGTTATAACTTTTATAGAAAGAAATATTCTTAAAACAATTAACAATAATGTTATTTTAACTTATTTTCAAGAAATGAATTATAATATTTTTCGCGGAATTTTTTAAAACTTTTTTTTCTCTCTCCTTTAATAAATCATATAATGTTTTTCAACTAACTTTGAAAGAAAGTAAGGAATAAATGAATTTTGAATTTGTTTAATAATTTTAGATACTATGTCACAAAATGTATTAGTTTAAACTATGGGGTGATTGGTTGTGTGCGGTGTGTCACTAGGAGACCAAGTATTGGCCATGCACCTTTGGCTATTGGTGTCTCTTTATTTTTATATGAACAAATTTTGAGAATCCAAATAGAAAGAAACATAGGGAAATTAAAGAAAGGAGTGCAATTGCTGTGTCATTTATTAGACTGCTTAGAACTATATCCATTGTAGCAAAATGAGGTTTGTGAATAAATGTCCAATTAGTATTATTGTTTTTCTTTTGAAAATTTGATATTTGGTTTTAGAAACGACTAATTTAGAGACCAATTTCACTATCTATTAAATATTACTGATATCAAGAAGGAACTTATATAAAATTCAAACACACACTTATAATCAAGAGAGAACAAGAGGAAGTAGTAGTTTAATTTTACTTTTCTATTTCTTGAAACTGTTATATTGTAAAGCAATGCAATCATGCCTTTATATAGGCTTTGTAGTAGATGTACTCGGTGTCTAAAAAATTTAAAGACTTACTAATTAAAAGACTTAATGAAATAGTGTGATATATGTGCCTTCACATGGTTACTTATTTTAACTCTTTCATTTTTGTTTAATATATATATATATATATATATATATATATATATATATATATATATATATATATATATATATATATATATATATATATATATATATATATATATATATATATATATATATATATATATATATATATATATATATATTATTTTTTGATTTTAAGTAAAATTAAACAAAATGACTAATATTTATTTTTTGATATCATTGATAAAAAATAATTTTATAAAACAAAAATAATATTAAACTATTATAACATAAAGTCAATATAGGTGTTTCAATTTAATGAGAAATAGCAATTATTACACTTGAATAATGTGGTCTTTTAATTGGGCATGGGCTTACTGTTTTGGTTGTATATGAAAAATGATTCTATCCTTAAGCTGGGCCCGAACCCAACATAAATTTTGTAGGGTAAATTGGAAGAGGAAAGGTGAGAAATTTGTTGTGTTATAAAGGTAGTGTAGTGGTCCCAACAATAGTGCCTTCCCAAAGATAAGAGTTTGTTGAACATTAAAATATCGTTGTTGTCTCCTTTTATGATTCGTGAAAGGTATAGTTTGAGTTCATCTTGTTTCAAATTTGTTTCAGATTTATTATCATATATGTTGTTACTAAAAATGTTGTTTTCACGCTTATTATTTGTAGATCCATTGAAGAGTTGACTACAAAAACTGCATGGGAAAGATTTAGTAGAGAGAAGGATAATCGATGTGTGCTTGAGAAGGTTGATCGTGTGGATCAATGGATTAACAACTGAGAAACCCAAATGATAGTTGAGGAGATTCCGAATAGCCCAAAACAACATGCATGTGTGTGGAAACGTTTGAGCAGGCGACAAGATATTTCGGTGGCTATTGAGAAGCGACTAACACTGATTGAACGGATAGGAAAATAAAAAAGTGTAAAATCCGGTGTAGGATCTGCCCAAGGATCTGTTGCGCGCAAAGTTGTTAAGGGTAAGAGGAAGGTGGATGCAAAAGATGGATGTCAACTATCAAAGGCAAAAAAGAAGGCAAAGAAATCCATAGGTGATTCTGCAGCTGGATCCTCAGGTTTGGAAGCACGTTGTGAGAGGTTGAGGTATGTATCATTTTATAAATAATGTTTGTATATATTGTTGTTGTCTTGGTTAGTTGTGAAACAATCATTTATGATTTTTGTAACGTGTCAGTAAAAGTTAATGTTGCAAAAAATTATGCATATATTATTGTTGTTTATTCCTATTAATAAGCTCTCAATTTATATAATTTATGTAGGGTTTCTATTGGAATGACTGTAACTGTAGAGTAGTGAGTTAATTGTGATAGGTATTTTAAGCAGAATTATAGAGAATACTAAGAAAATGGTAGGGATGAACAAAGGGGCATTTGTTTTTTATGACGTGGGTTTGTTTGAAGACTTTAATTGTAGTGAAAAAGAAAAAAAGTGTGTTATATGTTGAAGCAGTTAAGGATGTTTAGAAGGAAAACATGTAATGGATCAGAGGTATGGGACAGATAGAGTCAGATTAATTTTGAATATATCTATTTTGGTGATTGTTTGCATGTTATATACTTCAATCTACGTGGAAGAAAAAGAAGAAAGCTAGAGTATGGTTGTACGTAATGCTAAGGTTGTGCGTAGAAATGTGTTGGTAAGTGATAAAAGATAATTGTTGCAGCAGTATATGTAATTTTTGTATGGTTGAATTTAAGCTAATTCCAATATATGTTTTGCAGCAATTACCACATGATGTCATTAAGAAGTGCTTAAGTGGATCGATCAATTCGATTGTGTTATATGATTCCGACAAGGATATCTTTGAAAACTGTGTATTAAAGGTGAGGAAGGACGACAAAGGCGAGAAGTATCTTACTACTGGGTGGTATGAGTTTGTCAAACAGGAAAATTTAAAGAAATGAGACACTCTTCATTTTTGCATTTGATACCCGCCGATTGATGTAATATTGGTTTATGTTGAACCGACAAAGAAGAGAAGCTGAATTAGATTGTATTGGTTATATAATTTGAAAGAAGGATTAGTTGTGTTTGTAGTTTGTTTATGTTTATTTCATGTTGTTAATTTTGTATGGTTTGAATAGTTGGTATTATATGGGTTGACTGTGATGACTTTGCAACTGTGAAAGTTTCTTGACAGATTATTTATTAGGGATGTAATTTTTGTGACTACCATGTTAAAAGCATCAATATAAGTCATGTATTTTGCAAACTATAAGTATTAGTAAGTGGTGATGATGATATTATATTATTGTATACTGCAATATTAGTTGTCAATAGTGTGGGTTTTCGATCTTCTCCTATATATCGGATAACCTTCTGCATCAACAATAGTTTGTTTGTTAAACTTTTTTGGAAAGTACTTGGAGAATTTTCTATTCTTCATGCACGGTGAGGTCATCAGCGACAGTCCACAAGGTCCATGCATCATGTGTGCTTAACTAAATTGTATAAATTCAGGTGAACACATGGGTTGGGAATTTCAGCACAAATGATGTTGTCGATGTCTGATGGTGTTGGATATTTGCTCTGGGGATGAAAGAAAACCAAAATGTGTGCATGGGCCAATACTCACTTTTGAAATTCAATTGTGTACATAACTGTAGAAGTAAAAGTCATGTTATGTGTAATGTTGCTGCAATTAAGGATAGTAAGGAAATTTGTAACAAAATACGAAGAAGTGTACTTACATGCCAAGACTTTCCCCAAAACATGGTGTTTTGTAATATCACGCATAAGTTCATCAAACTTGATTTTGAAGACTTTGGTAACGATATCAGGTCGATCGTGTGCCTGTAATCTAGTTTTAGACAAAGCACACATGATTTCTGGCCAAGTTGGAGTGCAAGTAAATGTAATGAATAAGTCAAGGAACCCTAACCTACTTGAAATGGACATGCCATCAAAATACAGTTGATCCATGTATCTTTTTCTACCCACAAAGGTAGAAAACAAGACCACACATTTCCCTCGCTTTTTTTGTTAGTATGGAGCATCAACATCACATTGATTAGTCAACCTGTTATATTTTCCAACTCTCAATATTGATTAATTATTCCTCAACCAGTTAAGTATTTCAGATTCCATCATAGCATAATCGTCAACCAAGAATTATTGAAATAGACGTCTTGAGTGGAGTAATGTTTTTGCCTCATTTTTACGTTGTTGTAGTCGGTAAGAAAGCCAGTCCTTGATGATCTGACGATTTTTCTTAGTAACCTCGTTTTCATGGCGATACTTGTGAAGTATATTTTTTCTATAACCATCTTCGCTATATGAAAATATAAGAGGGTCTCATCTTCTTCTAGTTCTATCTTGTGACTTCTCTGGGAGCTGATAATTTCTTAAAGAGAAATTATATTAAGATCTTTGGCTAGTTTTAATGCTATTGCCATTTGTCTCCATTTCTTGGGTAAACTTTTTATGATCTTCTTTACATGATCTGCTGTGGAGTACCCTTTGCCCAGAACTTTCAATCCCGCAACCAGAGTTTGAAATCTTTAGAACATTGTCTCGATAGTTTCTTCTTCTACCATTTTGAAAGCTTCATACTTCTGAATAAGAGCAAGAGCTTTGGTTTCTTTGACTTGTGTGTTACCTTCATGCGTCATTCTCAAGGAGTCAAACATGTGTTTTGCTGATTCTCTATTTGTAATCTTCTCATACTCTGTACGAGATATCACTCAAGAGAATTGTTCTGGCCTTGTGATGATTTCAGAATTCTCTCTCTTGATGATCTATAATTCTTTTTCTATCAATGTTCTGACCATTTTCATCACTAGGATAAATATAGCCATCAATCACCATATCCCATAGATCAGCATCATGAGCTAGAAAGAGACTTTTGACTATGTCTTTCCCGTAATCAAAATTTTCACCGTCAAATATTGGGGGTCTACTACTGATTCTGTCTTTCTTATCATGATAATCATTGCTGATGATCTGACTTGGTCCCACCATAGTGTTTTTTCTGCTTGGATCTTTTTCTGACACAGTTAAGTATTTGCACCCAGAAACAGCTGCTCTGATACCAATTGAAGAATGGAAAAACACAAGAAGGGGGGCACCCAAATCACGCCACTATTCAAATTTTGCCACCTTAAGAAACACGTCGCTATATAGCGCGTGGCAATCTTGTTGCGGCATGAAAAGCATGTCACCAAGTTGCCACGTGAAATTCACGCCGCAACATACTGTATAGGATGAAAGTGTGCAGAGCAGAGCAGAGCAGAGCAGTCACATTTATATTTACGTTAGCTGTAGCGACGTGTTTTTCACGTCACTAATTAGTGACATGAAAAACACGCCACAACTTGTTTTATTTAAAAAAAAAATATTTTGTGTTTTAAATATATTAATTCTGTTTTAATAATTAATATTATTTTTTGTTTTATTAAATTTATAAATTAAATATTATAATTTATTTATTAAATACAATATTATAAATCAAATTATCAAAAACAAAACTAAATATATCTAAATGTATAAATAAATATACTTAATATTATAAATTTAATAAACTCAAATTTAAATTTATAATATTTTTAAATATACAATATGATTATAAATTTATATTACACAAATAAAAAACTAAATACAAAATAAAAATAAAACTAAGCAGAATCATTAGAGTCGTCGGAAATGTCGGGAAGAAAGTCATCATTATTTTGGTGATTATTATTTTGGCCACCACTGTTGGGATTTCTACTAAATGATTGCATAAATTGTCGCATTTGCTCCTCCATATCAGCTTGCCTCTTCTCCATTGCCTCAATTTTTCTATTATGTTCACCCCTCATTGCCTCCATTCGGGCATCCATTTGGGCCTTCAATGCCGCCTCACGATCTTCGGACTCGCGTCTAGCCAATTGTCTTACCAGTTCTAACTGATCTGGTGTCAAATTTGTTTGACGTGACCCTCCTTCACCGTCTGCAGCTCTCTGATACAGATTTCTATCCCCACTCCTCAAGGTGCCCGCCAAATTTCCACCACAAAAAAAACACTCGTTAGGCCCCTTTCCCCCAACAACTTGACTCCAAATATAGAAATCCACATCTGGATGAACCGGTTTTTCTGGAGGAGGCGTATACTGAGGATTATGGGTCAGAATTTCTACAAGCAACGCCTGATAATCCTCCTACACATACAATAAAAAAATCAAGTTAAATTTATAAGTAACATTAATGAAATTAAATGAAATAAAAAAAAATAAAAAATAAATAGCCACGTGATTATAACGCCACAACTTATCAGTTGCCACTCAATTTTCACGCCACAACATGTCACTTGCTACATGAAAATCACGTCACAAAATTGCTTAAAAAAATATAAACATAAATTTACTTACCAGGGCTTTTTTTGTGCGCTCGTCAGTAAATCCTCCCGATTTCTTTGTCCGAGTCTCCTTAACCAGCTCAGTCATCAATGGTTGTCTCCCCAAACGCTTAGCCTAAATATAAAAATTAACTTAAATTAATAATATGTTATAAATCCAAATATGACCTTAAAAAGTGGTAATAATTACCATGCGTCGAGCATGCTCAGCAGTACTAATACTTCCAACAGCATTAATGCAACCCCCTTTTTCTGATGCCCTCATCTTCTTTGCAGTTTCAGATTTAGCCTTAAATTCATCTGATTCCCAATACTTAAGAAGTTGTTCAAAAACTTCTTTGCCTATCCAACTCTCAATATTGATTAATTATTCCTCAACCAGTTAAGTATTTCAGATTCCATCATAGCATAATCGTCAACCAAGAATTGTTGAAATAGACGTCTTGAGTGGAGTAATGTTTTTGCCTCATTTTTACGCTGTTGTAGTCGGTAAGAAAGCCAGTCCTTGATGCTCTGACGATTTTTCTTAGTAACCTCGTTTTCATGGCGATACTTGTGAAGTATATTTTTTCTATAACCATCTTCGCTATATGAAAATATAAGAGGGTCTCATCTTCTTCTAGTTCTATCTTGTGACTTCTCAGGGAGCTGATAAGTTCTTCAAGAGAAATTATATTAAGATCTTTGGCTAGTTTTAATGCTGTTACCATGGGTCTCCATTTCTTGGGTAAACTTTTTATGATATTCTTTACATGATCTGCTGTGGAGTACCCTTTGCCCAGAACTTTCAATCCCGCAACCAGAGTTTGAAATCTTTAGAACATTGTCTCGATAGTTTCTTCTTATACCATTTTGAAAGCTTCATACTTCTGAATAAGAGCAAGAGCTTTGGTTTCTTTGACTTGTGTGTTACCTTCATGCGTCATTCTCAAGGAGTCAAACATGTGTTTTGCTGATT